ATATATATATATATATATATATATATATATACACATATACACATATATATATATATATATATACACACACATTTAATGACTTGCAAGCATGCAAGTTTAAACTAGCAAATGTGATGTGTATATATATATATACACACACACACACTCTCTTCACCTGTAGCAGCTGCCTGGTAAAGCCAGTCTGGAAAGAACCTCTCAGCATCAGTCACTGAGCAACACAAAAGATGAGTTAGTACACAAGACCACACAAATCAACAACTCCACAAAGACATGTCCAACTCTACACACATCTCATTACATACTTATTAGATTTGAGGACATTTTGTCTATTTTGTACAGCTACAAGAACACTTTAAGAACAAATGTAATTTTGACTAAAAACTACAATCTATTTGGTTTTTAAAACAAGAGTTACATATAAAATAACTACTATATAAAACTAAGTTTTAGAAGATTAATATTTGATGTTAGCCAGGTTTAGGAATATTGACTTTTGAATTAGCAAACAACGGAATTTGAATTTGTAATGATTGTGTAGAAATGAGTGAATGAACATTTGTGCTAAGAGAGAAATTTAAGGTTGATATTACCTTTTTGAAGCTTGCGTTACACTTTACGCCTTCTTTCCCAATTTTGTAGTTTATTAAGCCAGCGAATGCAACATTTGAATCATCTTCACGGTCAAAACTCTCACACTGGGCTACAAAAGTCTTTGTGTTGAGTGATCTGGTTGAATAATACATATCATGGAGTTTCTTTTGTTTTGTTTTTCACGCAAAATGACCAGATATTACCAGAGCACCAAATATCTAAATTGTTTTGTGCGTGTATACTTTACCTTTTAAAAAGGGGAATCTATTTGCACTTTTAGAGGTGACTCTGCAGGTCTTACCTCAAGATCCTTCTCAATAGAAGACAGATATGTAGAGTCTCTGTGACATCAGAGGGATTTAGTGACTCTGATGCAAGGTTGCAACAGGGTTATCGCTTTTAAAACAGGTATAAACACATGAAAAAGTTCCAGGATTTTCTTAGTATTGTGTATAAATCATTGTTAGTGTTGAATAGATTGACTATTATTTGTTAAAGGGGTCATATTAAATCAAATCCACTTGTTTTTGCACCAAAAACAGGCAGACATTTAGTTTAAACTAATACTTAAAAGTTTGGAGTCCTAAATGTTATAGCATGTTGCCACAGTATGAACATCAACACTCAAAAGCTTAATGAAAAGCTGATTTTAAAGATATGACCCCTTTAAAATGATAATACACAAAAAGAATTGAAATTAGCTTGTTGGGGGACCATGGTAACATTTTGGAAATATTTGTTTTCAATGCTATTGAGGTCAATTGTTCCTGTACAAGACATATGCACATTTTTCACGATCTACTTAACAAATAATTGCAGACTAATTTAATCAACGGTTTATACACAATATATTTTGAACAGCATTAAGTGAGTAAAACAAGTTTTCTATCTAAATGTTGTGATGTTATAAACTGCATGCAGAATTTTGACAGTTTTACAGTTTGCAACAGTTTGACAGTTTTATATGTGATGAATATTAGCACTTTAATAAAAGTCAAATACAAAAGTTTTGAAGGCTGTAAAAGAAAACTAAGCTTTATTGACAAACTGATAGGGACACATTTTGGACATATTTAGTTCCCTAGTTAGGAAATGCACACAAGCTTGCTAATATTTCGGAAACTGCAAACTTAGACACCAAAGAACAAGTTTCTAATAGTGGAGTATTGTACGTACAAATATTTGAGAGGGTTGTACTTTTATCTGACTACAAGTAAATCTAAACTACAAACCTTGCGATATTTGTTTTGCTCATTTAACAAAACGAATCAGCAGATGCGAAGTTTTTACGAGAATTTCAAACAGTAAATAGCCTCAAACCAAATGGAATTTGTTCTTTGAAGAATAAGTAACATGTTGGTTTGTACAGGAACTAATATTTTTGTGCATTCCTCAGATTTTTTTTTTGTGCCTTACAAAAGCGCGTTTGGAATAAATCTAAGTGACATTCACAGGCAGTTTTTTCTTTTTTTTCCATTTTACACATGGCCATCATCTAATTATCTAGCATTCAGGTATCTTTTTTCAGAGAATAAACACTTAAGCATTAAAAGAAATGAACAAAAACAGCAAAATTTCTAACAAAAGAGAATAAACAGCATAATCTAAAATTTAAAATGTGTCACGTCGAACTTATGGTCATTGTACTACTTAAAGAGTATATTCAGAATATTAAAAAGGAGTGTTAACCAAAGCAATACAAAAATAACAACTAAAATTACTTTAGGTGGTTACAAGAGGTTACGAGGGGAGGAAGTTGCCAGGCAACCGTCGTGACGGACTGCTCTCAGTATCTGCCATATGGATGCTCCCGATACGATTTGCCCGGTCGGGCAGTCGGAGCCTTTCCACCGGTGCCGCCCCAAGCACCACCATCCCAGTCATCTTCAGCTAGAAACACAAACACACACCCTTAACATGGAAAAACTGATTCAAGGATAACTTGGTACATTGTATTCCTGGTATGAGACACATGGGTGTGTGCTGTAGTTTAAGCATGAAAAACATCTAACATTACAGTCTGTAGTATAAACTGGCTCTATCGTCTCAACGATGGGCCAAAAAAGCTTCACATTTAAATGCGTGGATAAATGAGTTTGTCTTACTGTAAGACTCGTAAGTTTCTTGTGCCTCTCCGTGACCGTAATCATAATACTCTGTGTCTCTGTGGAAGAAAAAAGTTTTTAAGGCAGTTTTGTAAAGTTAAAATTAAATCAAGACAAGACTTTGGATGAGAAGAAAATTACGCATGGCTTCTGAGAAACCATGAGCAAGAATGTTACATGTAGTTGTTGCAACTAAAATGTGTGAAGAGATTCACAAACATGAATCAAAGAAAGAAGTCTCTACTAATTAAGAGAAGGGAAAAAAGCAGCAAACAGCACTCACGGCTGTGGAGCTATAAAAAAGCGCAACGCGGCCCAACGGCTTCTGGGCCTACAGCACGCATTTCACCGACACGCGTGAAATTTTCTCTTGATGAATATGAACGAAATTAATGTGAAATGCGGTTCTGACTTCACTATTCATTAACAATTAGAGGAGCTGCAGTCAGGAGCTCTGCGTGAAGTGCTCAATAATGAATGAAGCAGCACTGACCTGCAGAGAGGAGTTTCATGGCGTGCGTGAACGAGGAGTCCAGGCTGTCTTTTTCCGCCAGTAACTCCGGCAGATATTTACTGTCGCCGGCGCTGCTCTTCCGCTTAATGTTGCTGTTATTACCATCCATGATGCTCGCGGTTGACGGGGCTTTTGCGGATGATTCAAGCGGCTAGTGCAGGAGAATGGCGCAGAAAATGCGTGCCGAGGATTTTGTACTCGTCCTAACAAAGGAAACGACGGTTAATGGCGCAGATGGAAATGACGTCACGTGGCGAAATCGGCTTCCGTTTCAGGATTGGAAGAGCTGGGGGAGGGGCGCCGACTGATACCTCGACTGTGATTGGACCATCCTTGATCAGCGCTGAGAAAAGTAACAGTTGTCAGGCGACTATGCTGTAGAAATTAAGTCTAGGCCTGTAGTGAGGCCTTTATTGAAAAAATGACCTACATTTATGAGCAAAATTTAAATGTGCCGTTTAAGAGGTTACCAAACCAATATATACTGACTGACTAATCGAGCACGTTTTAAAGGTTACATTTGTAAAAAAATTTAATTACTGTACACAGCATATTCAGTTTGTGAAAATGAAAATATTAAATACAACTAGAAAATGTGAAAAACGGTGTTTTTGTAAATTCACTTTTGTTAAAATACTGTTTTGATCTGTTTGCTATTTGCAGTGGTTAATATTTACTATCTTTCATAGTATATCTTTGGGAAAATGGTAATAAAACAGCATCAGTTTGACCTACAAATACATCGATTTTACATATGATTCATAAAAATAGTATATGGGACCACAACAATTTAAAAACAGAAACATACACTGCTATTCAAAAGTTCGGGATCAGTAAGATTTTTAATGTGTTTTAAAGAAGTCTCTTCTGTAAATTACTTTAGGTGGTTACAAGAGGTTACGAGGGGAGGAAGTTGCCAGGCAACCGTCGTGACGGACTGCTCTCAGTATCTGCCATATGGATGCTCCCGATACGATTTGCCCGGTCGGGCAGTCGGAGCCTTTCCACCGGTGCCGCCCCAAGCACCACCATCCCAGTCATCTTCAGCTAGAAACACAAACACACACCCTTAACATGGAAAAACTGATTCAAGGATAACTTGGTACATTGTATTCCTGGTATGAGACACATGGGTGTGTGCTGTAGTTTAAGCATGAAAAACATCTAACATTACAGTCTGTAGTATAAACTGGCTCTATCGTCTCAACGATGGGCCAAAAAAGCTTCACATTTAAATGCGTGGATAAATGAGTTTGTCTTACTGTAAGACTCGTAAGTTTCTTGTGCCTCTCCGTGACCGTAATCATAATACTCTGTGTCTCTGTGGAAGAAAAAAGTTTTTAAGGCAGTTTTGTAAAGTTAAAATTAAATCAAGACAAGACTTTGGATGAGAAGAAAATTACGCATGGCTTCTGAGAAACCATGAGCAAGAATGTTACATGTAGTTGTTGCAACTAAAATGTGTGAAGAGATTCACAAACATGAATCAAAGAAAGAAGTCTCTACTAATTAAGAGAAGGGAAAAAAGCAGCAAACAGCACTCACGGCTGTGGAGCAGGCTGACTGTAGTAGCCCTCATACCCTTCATAGGAAGGCTCTGCGTATGGTTGTTCATATGCCTGCGAAAATACAGGAGACATGGAGATGCATCACGAGCTAAAAATAATTCTAAAGACATGGTCTTTTCAGTGAAAATGGAAAACGGTTGTTTCTACAAAGTGGCAGCAAAAGTAATACAATAAATAGACACTTCTAATGCTAAATGCAGAGCAAAAAAAACAACAACATACAAATCAGTGTGGTCTGATTTGCTGACAAATGACCCTTAGGAGCAGATTCTATTGACTTTTGATTTTAAGTTTGACAAAATACTTGTTGGTTACTTATGACCGAACGAGTATGTGTAGGATATGCATTCACAAACTAGTATTACAACAAAATGGGAATTTTATTATAAAAACACATGCCAAACAGTCTTGCAGTACATTACCGTTCAAAAGTTTGGGATTGTTGCAATTTTTGTAATTTTATTTAAAGACTCTTATGTTCATTAAAGCTGAATATATTTGATCAAAAATACAGTAAAACAGGTATTTTGTGAAATATTACAATTCAAAATAACTTTGTAGTATATTTTTAAAAACGTAATGTATTCCTGTGACAAGGCTACATTTGAGATGTTTTTCAAGATTCTGTGATGAATAGAAAGGTCAAAAGAAAATCATTTATTTGAAGTAGAAATATTTGTAACAAATGTCTCTCACATTTGAACAATTTAATCTGGAAAACAGAAATCATACTGACCCCAAACTTTTGAATGGCAGTGCAGATAACAGTTATAGTTAACAGTGGTGTTGTGGATATTGATTTACATATTCGCCGTAGCTTTCCGGTTTGGATGGATGCTGTTGGTGGGAGAGAGCGGTTGCTGGTGTCATCCTCTGAGTTTGGGCTGGTGGTCTTGACCGAGAGGCTGCTCCTCCTCTGGCTGATGTTGGGGGTGGAGGACCACCTCTTCCGGCGGGGGCTCCCCTCGCTGCAGCTCCACGGCCTGGACCTCCTCTTGGACCTCCTCCACGTGGTCCTCCACGAGGCGGCATACCACGACCCCTTTGAGTACAACCATATATATGGATTATTACTGCATACTCCAAACACTTACGATTGTTAAGATTACATGAGACAATTATTCTATTGACAGATGCATGTAGCATAACAGAGGCTATATTTTTTATATTGTTATCTCACCTAGGGCCCATTGGGGGTGGTCCACCACGGCCTCGGCCTCTGCCAGAAATATCCTGAGAACCATTCAGAAACCCTGGATCCATGAATGCATCCGGGTGCATATCCTCAAGCCCTTCCACCTGACACACGAGAGAAAGGATAAATCAGGCTGATCAATTAACAATTATTAAATAGTTTACCTTCATTTCAACTGGCTTTAAAATGCATTACAACCCCTGTGAAAGCCCATTAAAAAAATACTAGGGATGCACCAATAAAAGCATTGGTTGTCTTGCATTGACACTTACAGGCATTAGGAACTTCTTGACCTCATCCATGGCATGAGCCATACGCAGGTAACAATCAGGAATTGGAGCAAAAACCTCGATGTGCACATGCAGCTCCATGGCCAAGTGTGCATACTTCAGATCTCCACCCTTCCTCAGCTCCTCTTCCTGCAGGTTTCACAATTTAATCTTTAGTAACCAGGTCATTTAACAGTAAACTCATTGGCAGTGCAGCCTGGTTCATTACCTTGTTCTTATCTCTCATGGATCCTTTGCCCAGCACTGAGATCTTCGCCCCGGTGTCCTCCTGCAGACGTTTGATAGTGCTGCCCTGTGGCCCCAGAATCTTTCCCACAAAATTGAACTGAGGGGAAACATTGAGACATTTGTTAACTAATGTCAAATAACAAATCCTTGCAATGTACAGACAAAAGTCAGACAGTGTGTAACGACTTACTCGAGGGTACTGCTTCACGGGAATGAGCACTCTCTCCTTCACCCTCACGTTCTTGGCGGTGAACAGATCCAGATACGTCTCAGACTCTTTTTTAGGTTCACCTTTCTGGACCCTTTCAATCTCTGCAAGAGAAAACACAAGATCAGCTCAGAGCAAAATTCATTTAGCAACAGATTCCTAATGAAAAAAATAATAATCTGGGCTGACTTCCATTTACATTCCACACATCAATCCAGTTTATGGATGTAGATAACCAAGCATAAATGTAAGGTTCTAAAATGTTGCTTTCTGGTTGAACCCATAACACGTTCTCTATGTAACTCATAACAGGCACACTTGACTTTAACGTGGAATCAAAAATGATATAAACATGATATTCTAATGCACCAATGCAAGCGTACAGGTCTTTAACACTCACAAGAAAATGGGTTTAAAAACAATGTAAAATCCAATAAATAAAAACAACACTAAAAGAGAATAAATTTTGTCTTATTCATAAAATCTACAAAAAAACAACATAACTATTTGCTTCAAGAAACAGAACACGGCAGTGGGGTAAAATTAAAATTATGTAAAATTAAATGTAAATTCAAGTTGAGAAATCAGTGGAATGCCCTAAACCATTATTAATTACACTATACATTTTGCGTAAAAAAATTAATAATGCTTATTTAGTTGGTTTTCGGTGCAGAATAAATTCGATTTATAATCCACGCTTCTCTTGCATTGTCTGCAACTCAGAGCAATGCATCATGGGATTGTTTTTCTCCACAAAAGAAATGCCAGCCATGCTGGCCGAAGTGAGTCACATACACGCAACTTTCGAAAAAATACAAATAAATTCCTCAAACATGCAGTTCTCCGTGTGTAATAGGTCTAAATGCACCAGAAGATGCCACAAACATATTATATTTCCTATTAAAATCGCATGCACGTTTCACACATTTGCATGAACAAATTCAGCACCTTTGGCCGAATCATATATTGGTTGATATTGGTTGATACTGATAATGATTTTCAACGTGGTTCCAATTTGACCTAATTAGATGTGAGCCAAACTTCTCAGCATAACACAACACGAACATATATACATATATATATATATATATATATATATATATATATATATAAAAAAGCGAGTAAGATTTTTAATGTGTTTTAAAGAAGTCTCTTCTGTTCATCATGCATGCATTTATTTGACAAAAAAAAAAAATCGTAAAATATTATTATTACCATTTAAAATAATGGTTTTCTGTTTTAATATACTTAAAATATAATTTATTTGTGATTACAAAGCTGATTTTCATCATCATTACTCCAGTCTTGTCACATGATCCTTCAGAAATCATTCTAATATGCTGATTTATTATCAATGTTGAAAACAGTTGTGTTTTTTTTGGAAACTGTGATACTTGTTCCAGGATTATTTGATGAATAAAGTTAAAAAGAACAGCATTTATTTAAAATATAAATATTTTCTAACAATATAAGTCTTTATTATCACTTTTTATCAATTATCAATTTAACACATCCTGAAATAAAATAAATAAATAAATAAATTACTGACCCCAAACTTTTGAACGGTAGTGTACATTGTTACAGAATATTTCTATTTTGAATAAATGCTGTTCTTTTTAACGTTTTATTCATCAAAGAATCCTGAAAAAATTATCACGGGTTCCAAAAACTATTAAGCAGCAAAACTGTTTCCAATATTGATAATACATCAGCATTTAAGAATGACATCTGAAGGATCATGTGACACTGAAGACTGGAGTAATGATGCTGATGAACATTCAGCTTTGACTCACAGAAATAAATAATATTTTAAAGTATATTTAAATAGAAAACCATTATTTTAAATAATTTTGAGTAGATGCAGAATAGAGGCTGATGTTGATGGGGTGGATTGTTTTTCACAAGTAAATGTGAAAACTGGAGACAAAAGAATATTGATTAGGGCATATCGATGTGTTTCACTCAGGGTAAGAGTGTGAATGTGCGAAGGGCGAAGACAAAGAAGCATAAATGGGGCCGTTTACAACATGTCTGGCACAGGACAATAGATGAATGGGTGCTTGGGAACGCGAGTAGATCACCAGGAGTCTGCTTTGTGTATATCTCCTCAATAGGAAATGCTTCATAAAAGCCCAAAAAGCAAAAAAACAGAAATTCTTACTGACTTTGTTGTTTCCAATTTTTCTACTGCAATGTCAGTTTTTGTAGACTAGAGAAATGAGTGTGCATCATACATTTTAAGTGGAAAGTGTTTCATATTTGTGTAGAAATAGGACTCGTTTTTTAATCACTCAGCATGTATTTTTACCTCTGCTAAATGTTATTTGTAAGCACTTTATAGGACTCATTTGTAAAAAGTTATAAGTATACAGAATATTCACAAAATGAAAATATTGAATACAAAAGTTAAAATATTTGTCAAAGTTTTATCATATATATTTTTGGTCAATTTTGTTATAGGCTTCTTTTTTGATTTGTTGTTTGCTATATTTGCAATAGGTACGCAAACATCATAATAATTACTAATTTTAATAGTAGTATATGGAACACACAACAATTAAAAAACAAAAACATGCATATCTCCATTTTTAAATTTTTGGATAATAACAAGTGAGATTTCACTGATATTTTCGCCACTAAACTAGAAAATATCCCCGGTTTCCATTTCAAAAATCTAGGCAGCGTTTCTCTAACGCATATAAGCCTGAGTGGATCATAGATCCATTTACATTACATATACATTTAATCATTTAGCATCCAAAGCCAAATGAGGAGAACAATTATGATCCATTGCAACCAATGGTCTCTATGATCAAGTTATCTCACAATGCTTTTGAGAAATGCAGCCCTGGTCATTTTAACCCAGGGCTGGGTGATATGGCCAAAAAATTATCTCAATAAAATTTTTCATATCAGTCGATATCGATAATTATCACAATGCATTTAAAATCTTTATTTTTTTTTTCCAAGTTAAAAGGCAGATTTTTGCTCCTAATGCCGAGTTCACACTGCACGATTTTCAAAGACGTCGCATCACTGTTGGTTTCACACTGAAGGACTATCTGGGGTAGCATTCAGTTGTTGCTGTGTTCACACTGCACGATGGAACGACGACAGGAGGTTACACACTGCATGACTTCACAATAGGAAGAATCACTGACAGCTCTGTCTGGTGCAGGGTTGCCAGATTTTCGCTACAAAACCCGCCCAATTACTACTCAAAACTAGCCTGAAAATAGCCCAATTGCTTTCGAGGGGGTCCCCCAGTAAAAATCGCTTTCGGGGGATAAAATACACATTTTTTTGGCGGGGTCCAAAATATTGCTCCAGATATTTAGCATGCAAAATATTTCACGGCCGTCGGCGACGTGTCGGCGATTCCCTCGGATCGCGTCTTTGATAATTCACACTGCGTGATTGTCACTCGCGTGAACGAGCACTGATTTGCCTCCAATGTCGGGCATTTGTCGCCGATTTCACAAAACCTGTCGGCGAGTGAGAAATCGGGCTAAATCGTGCAGTGTGAACTCGGCATAAGTGAAAGTTGTAGAAACCAGACTGTTAATTGTGGTTTTAAACTACTCTTATTAGTCAGAACATGACAAGCACTTCACATTTTTTTGAGTGTTTTACACTTTTCTAGTCATTTTACTTAACAAAATAAATATCTAAAATAAATAGATATAAAATATAGAAAATAAATAAATATAGAAAAATTAATTTCTTAGTTTCTGGATGTTCTAATGATCAATATTATCTCAAATCATGAAGCAGGTTTGTGTCCCGACTTTGATGTATATTCAGCACAGTTTGCAGTGCAGGCTGCAGTATTAATAATATATCATATTTTGTCTCTTAGAAATGCACATTTGACAGTAGCTTGAGTTGACAGTAGGATTCAGATGTACATTTATGTTCATTATCAAAAACAGTAACATCTGCAAAAATTGTAACAACCTCATTTATACATGGTGAAATACAGAGATCTGGCATGAAACTCTAGATGGCGCAGTCCGATAGGTCTAACTCAATCTGACCGAATGACATCATTATCACATGGCTCAGCTGATTGGTTCTCTCCTGTATCGATAGCCAATGAGCTCGCTGCTCAACATTCAAATATATGACTAGTGCTTGCCGTAGCAGTGCAGCTTGCTTCAGAAACCCTCCACCTTCCCCAGCTCCAACTGTATAGATCTGCTACGAGGTGATTCATTTATGCTATATGGGGGTTATTTCATGCATGTTATATTTGCAGCAGCAATATTTCTTACATGCTCACAGCAGCATGTTGTGGATGTATTGGCAGTAGCAAATCTCTGTACTTGCTCTGCCGCAGCAGCAGAAGCGTAGCAGATCTATTCCGCCAAGACCAAATACATTAACATTGTCATGTACATTGCCAATCCCTCTGAGAGTTGTCATGACAAAAATTTAATTATTCTGACTTTTTGAGTTTTATTAACATTAACCATTGGTCTTCCACAGTAGCATACATTTAGATCATAATAACCACAGTTAAAAGCACACATATAGCACTTCAATACTATGGTAAAAATATGGTTTCTGGTATTTGTATGAAAAACAGTAGTCTAAATACATTTATGCATTAATCACAAAAAAAATACTGTAATTATATTCCATTACTCCTTTAATACATTTAATACGTTTACATTAATATGCTCTAATGCTTTAATTCATCTTGCTTTAAAATAGTTGAAATGAATTCAAGAATTCCAAGCACTTCACACTGGATCTCACAGCACTGTTTAGTGATCGCGTCACTGAGACTTATCAGCGAGTAAAGGCTACATACCTTCTGTCCTCCGACTGATTGGATTTTGTCTTATAATTTGCTATTTTACTGTTCATGATAGCAGCATTTAATATAATGTAAAATAGTTATAATTACAAATTTTATACATAGAAATCACAAAAATAAATCAATTTAATAGAAATAGCAGTATTGGTATTGGAAGTATTGGCCTTAAATTGGTCTTAGAACTGTATTAAAATGAAAATAAGTGCTGTCACCCATTACTCACCCAAGGATACCAAGGAAATTACACAAACAGAACGTCATCCATCTGTGAAATAATTTCTCAAAATATTAGTTCTGACAACTTCATAGCTCAACTGAACATTTCAATTCTGAATAATGATTTAAGTGCTTTAAAAAACTCAAACGCCTCACATTCTGCATTTAAATCCTAGGAAAGCTTGCTTTCATTATGAGCATGCAACTGTATTCACAATTGTTCAGAATTTGTTCAGCCTGCAGACCGGACCACACCAGAGACAGCTGCATCACAAAACACCAGTGAATCATGGCACTTTTTATTTGAATCAAAACCATACATGACTAAATCACAGAGTCCACATCTCAAGTGTACGTCATGATTATTACACCAAATTGAATGAGTTCATTTCATTTTTGTTCTCTGGAAAAGCTTATTTAAAGGGGACATCGGATAAAATAGTTTTTGGACAATCGTTTTTGTCCAAATTGGACAAATGTTTTGCATTAAGTTAGGTTTCTGGTGTGTCTGCAAGCTCAGAAACGCTGAAAAGAAAACACGCAGCCAGTTTGTTATAGGCTGTCTGAGTCTGAAACGGTGTCATCCAGTGAGCTGTTTCAATTTATTTTCAGCCGGTTTCTATGTAGATAGCTAGCTATTTGAGTAAGACCACCTCCGAGCCTTATACAGATATATTTTCAGTGTTTATATCCATCAAGGACACAGGCACGGAACTTCGATTTTGTTCATATATATATAAAGCAAAGACAAAAAGCGTTAAAATGCAACAGACTGTTGTTGCCACCCTGATCAACTTAAGTGTTCAGTCAACGGTTGAATAACTGAGAGAACAGCACAGTGATGTAGTAGGGGAGTGACTTTTGATTCCAAGTACCCTTCTTATAAATAATGATGCATGACAACTCTGAGAGCATACGTCATATAGAACAAATCACACCCAACATTAAATCACTGGTTAGTTTTGAAATTGACTGGACTGAATGAACAAGAGCTGAAAAGGTGAAGCGAGTCATTTCTGCACCATTAAAGAGAATTGCTAAGATTCTTACATTTTCTGAAGGAAGGGAATAGTGTTTGGCTGTGCAAAGGGGTTGCTAAGGGGTTCAAAGTGACTTTTTCACGTTGTTAGGGTGTTCTAGATGTTTGTTTTCCAGTCTAAATTAAAAGAGCCCATGCAGCACAAATCTCTATTATATTCTGGTCCCTCTATATCTCAAATCCATCCTTAAAATGCAAGTCTAACAGATTTTTTCGACTGTTATCATCTGCCAGGCAAAAAATTGTAAGATAGATCAGATGAAATGTGCATAACTTCAATTCACAAAAATGATGGTGTCAAACATCCTCTACTGTTTTCTTAGAGTTAGTATTTTGGGTAACGTTGTCATGTCAAATTTGGATGCTTAAACAGATCTTAGTTTACACGCTTCACCTTTAAAAATAAAAAAATATCATTTTCACAGGTGATAAGGAACGTTTCTCATGGAAATTCCTTAGAAACTCATTTATTTATTATAGAAGTATCAGATTTGGCTTTTAAGATGGTGACGAAATGGGCATTACAACAAGCATCCGTCAGTATCAATATCAATGACAGCTTCCCCATTTGGAAAGTTTTAATTAGCTGCTTTCACAGTTGGAATAAATATTATTTCAACATATGAGATAAATGCCACTGTGACTTTTCAGAATAGTGAAGGCAATGGACCCACCCTTTCTGGTGCAACAGCAACTCAAGAGTGACAGATGATTGAAACAAACGTAACCATGACAACACAATCATGTTTCTAAAGGATGAATCAGCCCACAGAGAGAAGAGTCAGGGGCGTGTCTTATCTCTACTGACACTGATGGTCTCCAATCAGAGTTCAGAGCGCGTTTGGTTTTCAGTGAAGGAAACGGATGCTCATCTTCTGTTCGACGTCCACTTTTTCCAATACCTGAAGTACGAAAAAGGGTTTTTGAAAATCAACAAATCACCCCAAAACTAACTTTGGAATCATTTAATCACTTTCATGTCATTCCGACCCTGTTGCTTTCCTGAGCCAAAAGACACCAATGAATCCTCTGCAGTGAATGTGTGCCGTCAGAATGAGAGTCTAAACAACTGATAAAAACATCACAATCATCCACAAGTAATCCACACCACTCCAGTCCATCAGTTAACGTGTTGTGAAGGCAAAAGCTGCGTGTTTGTAAGAAACAAATCCATCATGACGTTTTTAACTTCAAACCATTGCTTCTGGCTAAAATATGAGTCCATAATCCATAATATTATCC